TTAAATATAAACTATTCTATTTGGCTAGTAATGTCCTTCCCAACTTGGTCCAGCTTATCTTCCCAACTCTGCTATACATTATTCTTCTTCCCATGATCTGTGCTTAAGCCAAACTGATCTTTCTTGTTGTCCACCACACTCCATGCTCCATGTCTGTGTATCTGCACACTTCATGTCTGTAATGTATTCCCTCTCCATTTCCACCACCCTAGAATCTCTTACATGATTTAAAATACCCCTAAAACCACTGTCCATATGATGCTTTTACTGATACTCTCTGAGGCTAGTGATAATCCCCAAATTATCTTGAATTTATTTTGCATGCACTCACATATTTACTTATTATTTTCAATTCTTCACCACTAAAATGTAAGCTTCCTGAACACAGGGACTATTTCGTTTTATGTTTCTATCTCCAGCACTGCACACTGTGTGGCCCATAGCAGTCACTTAAAAATGGTTGTTGATCAATTGGCTCAGTGTGGCAAAAAAGTTTAGAGAGATTGCCTCAGAATAGGAAGACCTGGAAGTCCTGAGTTAAAGTCCTGACTCTGATGCATACAGGCTTCCATGGGTAAGACATTTAACCACATAATGCCCCTGGCCAACTTTCAAAAGTTATAAGCTGAAGAGCTGTATTGGTAGAGGAAATTCCTCCTCTCAGGGATTTCCCATCCAAATAAAATCAAAGGTCCTACTAAATTAACAATAATGATGATGATGATGCTATCACATTTGAAAAGCAGTTTTCAAAGCTCCTCCCTGTGAGTTTGGTACCATAAGCATTAACTCAATTTCATAGGTAAGAAAATTAAGATCAGCTTGGTTTTTAGTAACATGTCAAAGGTCATCAAGTTATTGAATGTAATAGAAGTGATACATGAAGTCTCATACTTCTAACTGCAGAACCAATACTCTTTCCACTAAGCCTATATGTATATCTTCTCAGGAAGCTACCCTGCATAAAGCTACAAGTATGGCATTAATGATATGGCACATACTGACATCCCTCTGCTGAAGAATTTTCAGTCGCTGCCTATTTCCTCTGAGAGAAAAAAAATTAAAAATCATTTGTTTGGTATTTAAGGCCCTTCAGAGTCAGGATCAAGACTACTTTCCAGATTTATTTCACCTTATTCTTCTTCACAAACTGTCCATCTCTGCAAGCTTGGCTTAGTGGCTGTTTTTTGTATACAACATTTAATGTCCTGGTTTCTCTGTTTTTGCACTGTGTATGTCCCTTTCCTGGAGTGTCATCCTTAGGTTCCATATCCTACAGAAGGAATTTCTTGAAATCACATACTCCAATTATTAATGTTGTGCTACTGGTCCTCCCCCCTCCAAAATTATTTTGTAAAACTTTGTAAATTCTTATTTATGTACATTCTTATTTGTGAATACTCTTATTTGTGAGGCAGTTAGGTGGCACATTAGATGGAGGACTAATCTGGAGTCAGGAAGACCTGAGTTCAAACATCACCTCAGACAGCTGAGTCTAGCTGTGTGACTAGGCAAGTCACTTCACATCTATTTGCCTCAGTTTCCTCAACTGTAAAATGAGGATAATAACCTTATAGTGTTGTTATGAGGATAAAATGAGATCATGTTTATAAAACATCTGGCACATAGTACACACTATATAAATGCTTATTCCCTTCCTTCCATATACTGATTTGCATATAATAGATGTTTAATAAATATTTGCAGAAGCTAATTGAACAGCACAAAATCATAGATTTAAAGGTAGGAGAAACTGTAAAAGTAATCTAACCTAACTCATTAATTCCACATATGAGAAAAATGAATCCCAGAGAAACAAAGCAATTCATCTAAAGTCACCCTTGAAGAGAATGTTATTTTTGGATCCATGTTCTCTTGTTTAAAGTCCTTGGCACTTGTTACTACATGATTTCATGTATATTGCCTGTAATAGGGAGGGAACAATGCAAACCTACTATGTACCATTTGGAACGAAGGTTTTGGGAGGGAGAGAGAGGTAATTATTCAGACATTACAATTTGTTATAAAAATTAAATGATACAAAAGCTCAGGATTTTGTCAGTTCCTACTCTTGTCTCTTTAAGTGGCATTATTTCAATTCCACTCTCATTTAAAATCATAGAAGTTGAAGAAATAAAAAAAAAATCCACTGGTACCTATCCCTTTCAAACTCCTTTGGATTGTGCTGTCATCATCAAAGCCAGTAGATCAGACACAGATACTCTACATAAATTCCTTTTAGTAGTTCTTGTTGCTGACCTCCTTGAGTAAGTTAATTACAGGGTCAGAATGTCTATGGGGTTACTAAAGACAATGGCTTACCAGGCATATTTATTATCCACATATCATCTGCTATAAATACACCTTACCACAATCATCATCAGGCTACCTCAGTAGCCTGCAATTTATGAAGGTTATGGGAAATAGTGTGAAGGGTGAAACGCTTTATTAGGGGTGGCTTTCTTCTCTGACCTAGTCCCATGTTCCAACTTGAATATAAATTCATGTATGTGTACTCTTAAGCAATTAGTATTACATCTTACAGACAGTCCCTCAGTTTGTCATGCAAACATTATTGTTAGTATAAAAATATTTTTTTAAATTTTGGAAATTTATTCTTCATTGAGACCATCCACATTTATATATATATATATATATATATATATATATATATATATATATACATATATACATATACATATATGTGTATATATATACACATATATGTATATGTATATATATGTATATATATATATATATATACACACACACACACATATGTGTGTATTCCATATATATACATGGAATAGCTAGGAATAAAGGAGAAATATAACCAAATCCAGCATCCCTTTGTCTCTATTTTAGGAAAAGCTTATGCAAAGCTTTCATCGTTTTCCTTCCAAAAACAAAACAAAACAGAAGAATTATATAAACTATTCACCTTTTTAAAAGGAGACTTTTTCAACCCAATTCATCCAAAAGCAACAATACTCCTCTCCTTGCATCTCTTTTTAATTGTAATCACTGACCAATAACTACTGATCAGAATTTTAGTATGGAAGGTTAACAACACAATACAAACCTCTGTAGAAGTAGAAATGAATGGAAGAAGAAAAATGTCTTTGCTTTAAGAAAATGTTGTCTTGGAATAACCACAAAACAAAAAATATTTTTTCCTCTGTTTATAGATCATAAAGAAGTGTTATTTATAATGAACTGAAAATCAAATGAAAAATACCAATCAAAAAGGGTACCACCTTTCCAAAGGATCTATTTTCTAAATTCATGAATTGATAATTCTAACATCTTGAAGCTGGTTGGATAAAGAATAACATTTTTTTTGTTTGTTTTGTAGAGTGTTACCCGGAATAGCCATAGAAGGTGGCTATGTGGGATGTTAATATTCATTAGGGGGCAAAACCCAAATTATAGTATCCCAAACAATTTGCTTGGAGAGAGATCCAGGACACTTTTTTTTTTCTTGACCCGCCTTCTAAAGGCTGTTCCAATTGCCTAGTCTGCACAAGGAAGAGGGATAATCAAAGGAGAAAAGAAAAGGGGGGGAAATCAGGAAAGAGGAAATGAATGAAAATTGTTTTATTTAACTCCACCTGAAGCTAAGACGCAGCTTTCTTCTGCTGATGATTCCATTACTTTTTTTTTTAATTCCCTCCCAAATTCATCGTTAAGATACTCTAGCGTTTGTTTTGGAAACTACAAACTGAGTTTGGAGGCAGAAAAAAAAAACCAGGAGGCTACTAGCCTTTTGCAGCATCTATTTAGAGTTATTCCATCAAATATTTCGGCAAGCAAGCTGAACTGGTGGCAAAAAACAACGGAAATAACTCCCCCACCCACCAAGCATAATCTAGACATTTGATGCATTTACCATACTCTCTCCTCCTCTTCCTCCCACTTCCTTCCCCACCCCAGACCCGTTACTAGGGTAACTTGAAAAAGAATAAGAAATATAAATTAAAAAAAAAAGTTCCGAGCCCATAGCTATGATCCCATTGCCATGCAGTGAGCAATGCAAGATGTCCAAGGCTGGGGAGCCCAAGCTGTGATCAGAACAAACCTGTTATCTAGCCAGGACAAATAAGATGTTAATTGCAGTCTCACTGAAAAAACTGCTATTGTTCCAGTCAGGGACAGGCAGCAGTTTGGAAGCTACTCTCCTCAGAGTACTGTATCAATTAATCCGTATCGTAGGGCTCAATTGACAGCTCTCGGGGCTGCGACAGGTTTTTTTTCTAAGAGAGGGAGAAGATCAAGTGCTCGATTTACTTCTTCCCCCTACCTTCCTCTTTTTTCTCCTCCCATTACCCGCACCCCTATCCCCCTTTCCCGCCCCCTTCTTTCAATCCCAATCTCAGAGTTTCTCTTACAGTCGGTCGCAACCAGTCCCTCTCGGTGGGAACTGAGGCTGGAAAAACCTCCCAGACGCAGAAACTAACGTTTGCAGGACGGACGTGCTCAGTTTTGAGTAGCCGTGACGTGCAGGCCTGTTGGAGCACACTGGAGTCCCTCTGGCTGTCTCCCTCTCTCTCCTTTCCCGCCTCCCAGTTCTCTACCGCCTCCACTTAGCGCCCCACTCCCGCCTCCCTATTCCATCTCTCCATCTCTCTCTCTCTCTCTCTCTCTCTCTCTCTCTCTCTCTCTCTCTCTCTCTCTCTCACACACACACACACACACACACACACACACACACCACACAAGCACACTGGCACACACTCACAAACACCACAGACAGCACTAAAGAAGGAGAGAGCAGCGCCTGCGGAAGCGCACAGCGAGCTTGGGGAGAGCAACCAAGCGCACCCATGCTAGAGAGGAGAGCGCAGCGCACTCTAACGCGCGCGCGCACCCTGAGACACTGGAGGAAAGCGGGATTCCACGTGCGCGTGCGCGGGCACACACATACACGCGCGCACACACGCACGCACACACACACACTCATACACACACAAGAGAGGGAGAGGAGAGCTCGAGCGCGCGCGCACACACAGACAGAGCTTTACTATCTCTCTCCCTCTCCCTCTCTCGACTCCCTCCTCACTCGGCATTCAAACAGCTTTCCAACATCATCAGCCAAGGATTTTTTTTTCCTAATCGCTGTCCCTCCATCAGTACCTGAGGGGGGAGGAGGAAAAGGAGGAGGGAGAAAAGAGGAACAAGAATAAGCCTGTTAATCTTATACCAATAAAACCACACCAACCCAACAAACCCGCCTAAGCAGCAGCTCCAGCGCTTAGAGTTCTCGCCTCTGCGTTTCCTTGGCATTTTGGCTACTCGGGCTGTTGGGTTAGATTTGGTCAAACAAATCGTTGCTCTTAAGCCAGTTCCAATTTTTTTTTTCCCCTTGCAGTTCTCGACTTGGGCTTTCCCACCCCCTCCGTTCTCCGTTTGGGAGGTTGGATTGAGTTGGACACGGCGCCAACCTCTGGGCTCGCTGGGGGTGTCCTCTGTTTCCCTCTCCTTTTTTTTTTTGCCCCTTTCCTTCTTGTGAATGTGCTTTTCTTTCTTTCTTTTCTTTTTTCTTTTCTTTTCCTTTTTTTTTTTAATCTTGGTTTTGGAGCCTAAGTCGGGGAAAATGGGCAACGGTGATTCGGCCAGAAGGGGAGTCTCTCCATCTCTGTTGTTGGGACGTGTGCCTGTGCTAGGCTCTTAGAGAAATAGCCTCCCTCAGCTTTCGGAGTGGAAGGTAAGGGGTCTGGGGTATTCATTCTCCATGCCCATTACCAGGGATTATTGCTACAGACTTTAGAGCCTGGGATATTGGGAGGGAGCGACAGGAGATGCTTTTACTGGCGGGTTGAGAGGCTGGGGGTGAGGGGAAAACAAACAAAAACAGCCCCCCTCACCTAATATCCTCCCCCTCCCCCCAAAAATATTTCTCTGCATTTACTCATACGCCGCAGTTGAAAAGTTAGAGAAGTGTGTTTTGCGAAAGATCTGCTTCATTGGGAGTCATTTCCAGAGAGACAGAAAATCTGACGTTTGTGTGTGATTGGGGTAATTTTATGAAGGGGGGGAATTTTAGGTTAATAGGAAGTTAAGATGAGGGAAGTCAGTGGGTCTTATAGTGGGGAAAAAATGAGTGGAGTGATGGCGCCGTCTATGTTCAACAAAACTACAGTGTCACCTAGAAAATCAGTTTTACATAGCTCAACTAAATGCCCATTTGCTTTTCAGCAGGAGATCACTAACTAAATAAATAAATGACCTAATCTTAAGATTCTCTGACCAGCCCCCCCCCCACACACTTTCCTTCGTTATTTCTCAAAGAGGAGAAGCAGGTGTTTTAATTGACCCTGCAGTCCTTCCTAGAGGCCATCTCAGTTATTCTTTTACTGGCATTAAGGACAAAATGAGATTTTGTGTACTGAGGCTTTTAAAAATCAAGAACAGTCTTTTCAGGGAGCTCGCCTGAGCAAACGCTGAAGTGAAATCAGGGCTGTTTTGCCAGGTTTTCTAATTCAAGATGAGCAAAGCACTGCAGACATGGACTCCGGCGTATTATGTGGAAGAAAAAGTCGGGAGGTTTCATTTGGAAGAGAAAGAAGACCTCTTTTTGAGTTGCAGATTATAAAATGAATCGTTTTTCATGGTTGGAATTCCTAATTTAGACACTTATTGTCACATTGGCTTTCAACGCCTACACTCTATCCTGTAGAACACTGCGCAGACCTGCATTGCCTGCAAAGTGCTACATGGAGAGAAGGAGATTATTCTCAGAATTTCCATTAACTTTCTTCCTTTTTTAATCGTCTAGATGTTCTATAACTTCACTTCATCAAGAAAAAAAATTGTATTATTCACTGGGCTATATGTTTGGGAGGAAACAGAGGAGCCAGTGTTTTTGACAGCTCTGGCAGTTCTGGTGTTATCTTAAACTGCAACTATAAAGAGGTTTAGAGTTGGTTCTGCATTACCCATGTCAAGACTAAGAGTTTAAATTATAATCTGAAAAGCTCAGAGATCTCTTCAGGGACTTCAATCTGTCGTGTGTGTGTGTGTGTGTGTGTGTGTGTGTGTGTGTGTGTGTGTGTGTGTGTGTGTACGCGCGCGCGCGCGCGCGCGCCTTGGTGTGTTATGCAATGGGAAGGAAGAAGCTTTTTTTTTCTTTCGGTTGGGAGAGAAGAACCTAGGTAAAGCCAAGATTCAAAACTCTAACTGCCTCTGTGTCTGTCTGTTTCTGTTTACAGAACAGCGGAAAAGGCTGCAGTCTAAAGACTTTTAAAATTAACTTGGCATCACTTTTCTCAGCCCAGACACTAACTGGAAAACGAAGTGTCAGTCATTTTTTAAAGAAAAAAAGCAAAAACTTCTTAAAGGTTAAAGCTGAAAACATTCAAGTTATTTTTGGATAACAACATACAGAGGTAAATATAACCAAGGTTGCTATATCATGAAAAGTCAAGGTAAAACAACAACAAAACAGGAGGGGTTTGGGGCCATTACTGGGAAGGAATCCATTCAATACCTGCAATGTGCTAAGATAGAAAAATCTAAAATGTCTTTCATCTGTCATGCACAAATGTTCAAATTGTAGTAAAGTCTAGATAAAAGTACTAATTTTAAAAAGCAATTAAAATCCTGAATCCAGTTCATTGCTGTGGTTCTGGGATTTTTCATTGACATTGCCTTTAGATATAGAAACTAATACAGTGATCTACTTTATGTATCTCAAGAGGGAATGTCACATTGAAATGAATGTCTTTAAATTCTGGTTTTCAGGGGCATGTCAAATAATTTCCCTCTATGTATCTACCTATTTATGCCTTTCCCAGATAATATTTACAAAATTTTAAGAATATAGATTGCTACTTATTTTGTCTCACAGGAATTTATCATTACAGAGACCTTTGTATACCAGGTGGTCCTGCAAAGGCATGTAGACATATGGGAGATAATGTTCCATCTGCAACAAATAATAATTTGTGCATTTTAAAATTGTGGCTGTAACTCATCACAATAACTTTGAACATTTAATATTAAGGAGATAATTTAATAACATCTGTTCCTAAATTTTTAGATTAGATTATGTGAGATGATATATTTCCATGCACAGTTTGGGGTGGGGGGTGAAGCATGTTAACTGATTTTTTAAATGTCTTAAAATTGCCCTGTAGTGACACTTTGTGAAATCTATAGGATTTATTTTAATTTTGTAGTTTTATAATTTACTGACAGGGATAGCTGCTCGATGAGTAAGGACATTCCTATTAACGATCTATTATATCTTATTTTTAATTCGAATTTAGGGAATTGGACCATTGTGAATGGCCACGTGGTGGCGCTGTTCACACAGCATCGAACAATTTCCTTGCGTTATAAAATAAAAATTACCTGCCCTTCTTTTTGTAAAGGGTTTTAACTGAAATCTTGAAAACAGCTGGCCGCAATATTGGAAGAAGTGTCTTTTTCAATGCGTGCAGAATTACCTTTGCATTATAATTTCATCCCCATTTTTACAGGCCAAATGACATAGGATGAAGGCTGTTCGTAATCTGCTGATTTATATATTTTCCACCTATTTCCTGGTTATGTTTGGATTTAATGCTGCCCAAGACTTCTGGTGTTCCACGTTGGTGAAGGGAGTCATTTATGGATCGTATTCTGTAAGTGAAATGTTTCCAAAAAACTTTACAAACTGCACTTGGACGCTGGAAAACCCAGATCCAACCAAATATAGTATTTACCTGAAATTTTCCAAAAAGGACTTCAGCTGCTCTAACTTTTCTCTCTTGGCTTATCAGTTTGACCATTTTTCCCATGAAAAAATAAAGGATCTTTTAAAAAATAACCATTCTATAATGCAACTCTGCGATTCCAAGAATGCTTTTGTATTTCTACAGTATGATAAAAATTTTATTCAAATACGTCGGGTATATCCAATCGAATTTCCAGGATTACAGAAAAAAGTGGATGAAGACGAAAAATCTTTTTTTGAGTTTTTGGTATTGAACAAGGTGAGCCCAAGCCAGTTTGGTTGCCATGTATTATGCACTTGGCTGGAGAGCTGCTTAAAATCCGAAAACGGGAGAACGGAGTCCTGTGGGATCATGTACACAAAATGCACCTGTCCTCAGCATTTAGGGGAATGGGGAATAGATGACCAGTCCCTGATGTTGTTAAATAATGTGGTGCTTCCCCTCAATGAGCAGACGGAGGGCTGCCTAACCCAGGAGCTGCAAACTACCCAGGTCTGCAATCTTACCAGGGAAGCGAAGCGCCCACCAAAAGAAGGTAAGTACAGAGGAAACAGGGTTTGAGGGTTCAGGGTCATGGAGTGAGAAGGAAGATGCTTAGAAAACTTATAAAAGATTTTCATACCTAGTCTAGGTCATCTTACTCCATCTTGTATTTCTGCTGTATTTGGTTGGATTCAATGATTTGAGTCTAGCACCAAGAAAAAGATCTTTATTGATTTGAGATCTGGGAATCATGGAGGTGGGAGTGTGAGCAAATTTGATTAGAATGAAACATACCCACAGAGACTTTTGAAGGCACTTGGGACTGAAATGAGTGAGAGATGCCTTAAGCTTGACAAGCTCTTTCAGATGTATTTGTTCTTGCCTGTGCACATACAGGAGAGCAGATACCAGTACTAAGCCCTTCCTTGAGTTTGCAGTTTGGCCACGAGAGAGTCACAGGTTGGAAGCCAAATGGTAATCTTGGCTTGGGAACTGTCTAGGAGGTAGGTGGAGAGAGGAAGCAAGGAATGAAGGAAGATGCAGAATCCCTTGAAATATATCTGCAGTGAAAAAATCTGATCCTGTTCTTTTTGGTGTTCAGGTTCTCTTTCTCCCCAACCCCCCCCAAAAAAAAAACAGAAAAAGAAAAAAGTTACAAAGATAAGACAAAATAACTAAAAAGATACAAATTCAATAGTGAATTCTCTGTCAATCTTGAAAATCAAAGCAGGAGAAGCAATGGCACAGATCTATGATTTTATTTGAGATGCTTTGCATCATAAACCCCACATACTGTCTGGTCCTTAAGGAGAGATCCACTTGGGAACTCAACTGGAAGCACAAGCTCACTGTGTCGCAATGGCTGTGAAGTCACATGCTATTGGGAGCAGAGGGATGGGTGGGAGGGGAGAGACTCAACTAAACCATACTTGCAAATTAATTGTCCTACTTCCCCCAGTGGACTTTTAGTTAGAAGGGTTATTGTTATGGTGTGTGAACTAGCAGACTCTTATTAGGTCTACTGCAAAGGATTTCTGCCCTCGCTTCTGATCCCCTGTTGATCAGCACAAAGAAAGAGATGGGCTATTTGGAAAGGCAGAGTATAAGGGAAATGCAGGGGGAGGAGATAAAGTGCTGAAGTGAGTTACAGCATTCTTCCAATTCCTACCAGGGGCACTACATAGAGATTTTGAAGCTGTGGATTATGTTTAACAAATGATTTGGAGGGTGGGGGACAGGGGGTCTCAAGGACAGGAGAGAAGAAAATAGATTTCCCAATTGGGAAGTTACTGGATGCATTTCATCTCTGTGAGGGGAGTGATATTATATGTTTGTGCCTGCTCCCCCACCATGCAAGGGGAGAGAGTGTGTTGATTTTTTATTCAGGAAATGTTTTCTGATTGCCACAAAGATCCTTGTCTGTGGAAAGGGACAGCCAAGCTCCAGTCCCTCTTTCCTCCCCTCCCCCCAAACAGAAGTTGTCTTTGTGGCCAATATAAAATTGACACGTTGTTAAGAGAATTTCCTTTAAGGCCAGCCAAGGCTTTGTGAGAGGAAAAGCTGAACTTGCTTCAAGCTATTTGGGGGATGGGAATTGCTGAAGGGAGATGGAGCTGGTGAAGGAGATGTGCTTGGTAGCCATCCAGACTAATGGACAGTGTGGGGTGTGTGTGTGCAGGGAAGACTTTAAGAGTTCTACAGGTCGTTGTTTCACTAATAACTGTGAATGAAGAAAACAAAGTGATTTTAAATTACAGGAGTTCTTTTCTCTGGTAAAATTCCCAGAGAAGCAATAGCAACTGCAGGGATGGCATTTAACACCATTTAAAACTAATTAGTGTCCCTTAGAAAAGAAGCTACCACACACACTCACACACACACACACACACACACACACACACACACATACACACATACACACACACACACACACACACACGAAATGCATTGGTAGAATCTCTCTTCATAAGACAATTAGTCAATTAAAAGAAAAAAAGTGTCAGAGTTCCTAAATAAAAACCAGAAGTCCATATTTATCAATAGGTCCAAATTGCCATACTTTAATCCACTCCTAAAGATAATGAAAAGTCACAAGTCTATTTTCTTCATGCTAATCCTCTTGAAAGGCAGTTGACAAGAAAAGTTGCTCCATATACAGAAAGCATGATTTACAAAGAATATATTGGTCATGATCAAGAGGCATGAATCAAGGTAGTTCAGCATTAGAGGAAGTATACTAATTTGACTTAACTTTTTAAATAAATGAATAATTCAATTAGTCCATGGCTACGAGACTGATAATTTCTGTTCTTTCTGTATAATGAGCTGGAAAAAATGGGCAGGGAATGCTTCCATGAAAACAGCAGTGGTGGTGTTCCACAAGTAATATGATAAGAGAATTGAATAATTTAACTTAACTGTTTTGGGGCAGAAACTTATTTTGGATCAATGAACAACTACAGTATCCTCTAAATTTAGGCCTTAAGCCTTCTTTAACCTTTTTAGGTTATCTGAATCAGAGTAAACACTGAACAATAATGCACTTATAATAAACTTATGAGCTATTGTGTTTTGTAAGTGATTTGTTAAAAGGTTATGTGCTATGCTTTTCACACCAGTCTGAGAGGAGACTTCATTAGTTGCTACAGAAGAAACCTAAGGAGAGGGGAAAGTCAGATTGACTTAAAAAGTTAAATCATGTTCGAAATATATTTCTAATAGTTAACAACCAATAAAGAAATTTATAGAGGAATGAGTTAATTCTATTCCAACCAGAGGTGAATCCATATCTTCTTATTTTTGTTTTCTATTATCATTTATGGCTTAATTTTTACCAAATTATCTTCACAGAATAATAATGTAATTCATAATTTTTAGAAAATTGAAACCTCAAGCCATCAATCTTTTTATTTTACCTTGATATATTTTATCTTCTTCAGAATTACAAGTCAAGATAATGAATGATACATGGATTAAATAATCAGTTTTGTATAGCTTTCTACTTTTAGTAAACACTGATGGTCTTTATATCCAACTGAATAACTATTTCACATACAGTGCACAAAGCATACAATGACTAAGGGACATCTATGTTATCATGTCAAGGGTCAGTAACAACACATTGCAGAGGTAGATCTGTTTTAATGAAACATTCACATTTAGAAGGTGTAATTTTCTTTCTTTTCCTCTTTTTTGCAAATCTTATGCAAATTCAAAACCAAACCAACAATAGAATATGAATTTTGTTTTTTGGGTACCAAAGTCTTTTTTAAACCAAAGATATCAAGTATTCTCTTGAGGGAATATGATATCTGTTCTGAGACCAGATTTTTACTAGAATTATTTTTAAATGTCTTGACCTAATAACTGTTTGCATATCTGATTAGTAATGAAATGAAAACTCATTATTTGTTAAAATGAACCTGAGAATTAAAAAAAAACTTGTGTTATGAATTATTAAGAATCATTCTACAAAGGCATTGTTAAGGAACTGATGTGTTTATATAGTTTTCAAATTGTCTTTAACTCATAATTTAGAATTTCTGTCTGGCATGTATATTTTGGAACCCAGATTTTTTTTCTTTACATGAAATAATTTAAGCTGTGTGACTCAATGACATAAGGTCTTTTCTTCTTTGTAATGTTCTCCTCATGTTATTCAGGTATGTCTTATACTAAAATCATTTATAGAATTAGGGAATTTGGCTAAAAAGATGCACAAATGAAATTAGTTAATTTAGTATTCAAAACTGACATATGAAATGAAATACTGATACAGAAGTGCTTTCTCCATTTTTAATACTCATGCCTACATTATAGAGAACATTATCTTTTTAAAGATGAATAAGATCAATACAACAAAGCTTTCCCATGACACTTCATTATTACTACTTCAGAATTTTAATTTTGAAAGAGCAAATAAACTAGGTTGTACAGAAGAAAAATGTACTGGGAGAATGGAGGTCAAAATTAATAAGAGTATAAATTTAGAGAACTGGATTTTGAGTCAGAGGATCTTATTTGGAATCCAGCTTCTGCTACCTGCATGTGACCTTGGCAAATGACTTAACCTCTTTGGGCCTCAATTTCCTCATTTGTTCCTTTACAACTCTAAATTTCAGACTCCTAGGACCTAATACACCCCTGTCTGCTTTATAAAAAGCTCCCAGCATAAAGGGAAATTGAAATAGGTGTCTATTTGCATCCCATTCAATTCCAGAATAATTGGACATATTTCTCTTGCCATCCCTGAGATATATATGTGTGCATGTATATGTATATACATGTGTATGTGTTCATCTATATAAACACATGCAATGTATGTATATATGTGTATGTACACACACATATCTATGTATGTGTGTGTGTATATATATATATATATATATATATATATATATATATATATTTATACTCACACACATGCATGGCAGACTACATAAAGAGTGTAAGTAAGAGGCCTACACAGGTGTGTATATTGTTTGTTCTATGTGTTACCCTCCAGATATATCTATATCTATATATCTATATCTATGTATATAGGTATCGCTATATGGATAAACATATGCGTACACATAATGTGTGCATTCAACGTCTGTCAGGTTTCCTGTCCATTCCTACCTTTCTTTCTCCTTTTTCACCCAGCACAGCTTCCTTCTCTATACTGAAAAAAAGTATAGGATATAAGAGAGATAGATATGAATAAGTTCCATTCAAAGAAATCAAAAAAACATAGTCTGAAAAAGCCTCCTTTTGAGTTTTATTTTGGTCAGGGGTCTTTCGTTGACAACCTTTATACTTTTTTTGTTCAGATCATTTATTTTTACCTAATGTTCAATTGAATTTTTTTTTAGAGGGAATAGTGTGTTCCAGACCTGTAATTTCTTCCTTGTGGGAACTTCCATACTCCCACTTGCACACTCCCAGTGTGAAAAATACAGCCAGTGATGCAAATAGTTGCTCTTTCTCTAACTCATTGTTCTAAGGAATAGCCTGTGGCATTGAGAAATTAAATGACTTGCTCATTGACACAAAGTAAGTTAAGTCATCAAG